TCCGCGCGGACCTCCCAAAGCGTGTGCTTCCTCCGGTTTTTATTCCTCTGTCTAGTTTAGCCTCTCCAGTTTTCCTCTAGTTTTTCAGTTGTTTCCCAAACCTGGAGCTCAGCCGTTCTTTCTTCTTCTAGTAACGGGATCACCGTCGACGCCGATCCAAGTCATGGTTCATGCTGGCCGTCGCCGATTCGCGAGGTTTGTCCGCAAATTGACGATGACCAAGATGGGTGATGGCAAAGATCGGCCGGGGCGTTTTTGCGCACAGTCTTGGTCGTCGTCATTGTTTTCTTTTTCTCCAACCTCCTGCTTCCCTCGCTGCCCTCCCTGTCATCCATGCTGTCGTCCTCGTTCTCCGCCGCGTTGTCGTCACCATCGTTCTTTTCTTCTTGTCCGAGCTACGAGCCCAACGGACAAAATCGGCGCGTCTTGTTCTTGTCCGATCAGGTTTCTGAGAAATAGCAGCTTCGCTTGAGACATCCTACAAACATTGGCTCTGGAATTGGGTGTGAGCCAATGTCGTCCAGATCGCTCCTAGAGGGCTTTTCCAGAAGAGTTTCGAAAGGCCCCCCAGATGACCCCTAAGAGGACCCTAAGATGCTCCCAAAGGCGCCCCAGGAGGCCCCCTGACGGTCCAATAGAGCCCCAAGATAGCCCAAGATGGCGCCAAGACGGCCTACGAGAGCCCCCACTGAGCCCTAAGACACGCTCCGACAGTCCAAGAAGACCCCAGAAGCCCCCGAGAAGACCCCGAAAGGCTCCCAACCGGCCCCCAAGATGCCCGAAGATAGCCCTTCGTTGTCCCGACATCCTCCAAAGTAGCCTTAAAAGATCATGAGGACCCCCCTTCTTCGACGTCCTCTGCTCGTACTCCTTACTGTCCTCATTATCGTCGTCGTCGTCCTCCTCCTCAGAATCATTCCTAATCGTGTTCGTCCCTCTCCATCTCTTCCTCCTAGTCTCTGTGGTTGTCTTCCTCCTTGTTGTCCTCCTGCTCCCCTCGCTGCCCTCCCCGTCATCCACGTTGTAGTTCTCGTCATTAGCCGCGTTGTCGTCGCCATCGTTCTTTTCTTCTTGCCCGAGCTACGAGCCCAAAGGACAAAGTCGGCGTTTCCAGTTCTTGTCCAATTAGGCAATCGTTTCCTTTTCTGCCGTGCTTGGAGTGCCACGCCAACACGCCCATTTCATTGTCGCTATTCTGGTTGCGTCCAGCACCCCGCTAGGCGTGAGCCATTGTTGCCTAGCTAGCGGCTGCCTTACCGTCAGCTCTATCAATCTTTCCTCGGCCTTCTGTGGACGTATTTTTTACTTGGATTGGTCAGCGGAGGCCTTTGCGAGCCAGCTTCGAGGAGTTCTCCAAGAAGGCCCATGGACCGACCCGAAAGTGTACTTGCCCAGCCCACCCATGCAAGCTGTGTGCGCAAGATAAGTTGAGCAAGGGCGGGGTGATGGCGATGGCCGTCATGATTGCGAGCAGGATCAGGATCATGATGAGCTGGGGTCGGTGTGGATGGGGGTTGGGGCGGGGGTGGTGGTGGTGGTGGTGGTGGTGGTGGTGGTGGTGGTGGTGGTGGTGATGAGCATGGTGAGCGATTCAGCTGCAAAGTGACAACACCAAGCAGTCGATCAAACGGAAGGGCTGGGCCATGTTTCCTTGTCTGCACCCCCTTCATAACCCTCCAGAGGAGGAGGAGGGGAAACTAGAGCAGGGAGGACGGATAAATCATGACTGGGGGGGTGGAGGACGCATCGGCAGGGAAGACGAGTCCAGGAGGAGGCGGAAGGCACGGGCGAGGAGACATGAAGGATGGGGATGGTGATCATGATGAGGATGATTTTGATGATAATGCTGCTGATGATGATGTTGGCAAGCGCGATGACACTGATGGTAATGATACTGATGATCATGAGGATGGCGAGGATTATTGTCATAAGGATGAGGACGATGTTGACGATGGTGCTGATAATGATGATGCTGCTGATGATGGTGGCGGCGGTTGTGATCATGGTTATTGCTGGGCTGGTGGTGGTGTTGATGAGGGCGAAGTCGGATTTGCGTGGAACATGACGAGCGAGGATAGTCGGCGTCGTCGTAGTAGTAGTAGTAGTGGTAGTAGCAGTAGCCGTAGTTTTAGTCGTAGTAGTAGTGGTGGTGGGAGTAGTAGTCGTAGTAGTAGTAGTAGTAGTAGTAGTAGTAGTAGTAGCAGTAGTAGTAGTAGTAGTAGTAGTAGTAGTAGTAGCAGTAGCAGTAGCAGTAGTAGTAGTAGTAGTAGTAGTAGTAGTAGTAGTAGTAGTAGGTAGTAGTAATAGTAGTAGTAACAGTAGTCGTAGTAACAGTAGTCGTACACTCGTAGGGGTAGCAATATAGTAGTAATTAGTAATAGTCGTACGTAGTACGTGGTATAGTAAGCCGTACGTAGTAAGTAGCCGTCGTAGTAGTAGTCGTAAGTAGTAGTAGGCAGTAGTAGTAGTAGTATTTAAGTAGTATCTTAGTAGTAGTCGT